GCTCTACCGCAATGAAAGGTTTACCCGTTAGTTCTTCGACAATTCCTGTAGATACGAATTATCTGAACCGAGTTTCATATACATGTGATGTGATTTATTTTATTTATAATATATTTTTAATTTTTATTTTGAGATATTTCAATATCTGTGAAAAATGATTGAAAAAATTAATGACATTTTATGATTTTAAAAGCGTAAAATTTTAAATTTATCTAAAAATTTCGATTTCGATTTTAGCCGAAAAAATGTGACTTCGGTAGATTTTTTTGCAAGACTTATCCAAGTTTCGATCTCGGCCAAAATTAAATAAAATCCGAATATTCGTTCTGAATATATAATATATTTCGGACTCAAATTACTTCACGAGGTCAAAGTACCAATTATTTCGATCGGACTCTTCCCAAATTACTTTACGCCAAATCGTAAAATTCTTTATTTATTTTAGTTTATTGCGCCCATATCGTTTATAGACACTTAATTATTTTAATTTAGTTTAGCATTTAACTTTTACCGATAATAACGTACGCAACAGAGATATTCTACGATCAATAGATTAACGTGGAAGTGCTTAAGAAGTTATTCAAATTATTGTTCTAGAAGAAAGACTTGACTTGATGAAGAGAGTATCATCAAAAATTTAGCGTTGAATAAAAACACACTTATCATGAAATCACGAAATCGCCGGTTTATTCACGGTCATCATGTATATATATATATGCGTTTAACTGGCAACGAATAAAAAAACTTTATACATTCTCTGGCGACTATTCGGACCAGATGTAATGTCTCCAGCACCCGTAATAGTTATATTTGCCCTTTGACGCGGTTCGTTAGTTCTACTCGATTATACATATACCAACTTGCAAAAGTAACTTACAGTTAAAACTAACTTACAACTCTCATACGTGACCAAGAAACAAGATTTTGATGATAAAAGTAAATTTTCTCTTGCAAAATGCTTAGAAAGCGTGACTAACTCTCGACAATACTCTATATACATAAACATAAAATTAATTTAGTAAATAATTACTTACAACTCCGTTAAATATTTTTATTAATGAATTAATATAATCTCTTATCAGTATAATAGTTAATGTGATGCAAATTTTTAAAATGATATTTTTCAAACATGCCACAAAAGTTTTAATTAT